GTGCAACAATTCCGGCGAGCGTCCGAGGGGTGCGGAGGGCACGGAGGGGGCTCAGGAGCGAAGCCCCATTCCCCGACAGGGCGCTCGGAGAGGGAAAGGGAGGATGGCGCTGCTCGCCTCCGACCCGAGGAAGCGCGCACCCGCTCCGGCAGCTGCTCGACGCCTTCTTGTAGAGCCCGAGTGCTCCTCCGGCCCCTATATATCGCCTCCCTCGCCCCGCCCCGTTTGGCCCCGCGTGGTTACGCCCACCCGCTCCCCGCCCACCATTTCGTCTGGCCCCACCCACCGGCCCGCCAATCGGTCGTCCTCGGCTTCAACCGCTGCTGCCGATAGGGCCTTTTCGCCTGCCAATAAGGCCGCAGTCCCCGCCCCCGAGCTCCCCCCACCTACTCAAACCCCTGTCTCCTTTTTTCACCTGCCCCCTGCACGGTTCTTTTCTTTCTCCTCTTCATTCTCCTGGAGCAAAAGGTTTAGGGTGTTTTTTTATGTGTACGTACGTACGTATGTCTGTGTTGTCTATTTTGCTCTTGTCCGGGTGGTCTTATTAAAAGCCTCCCCCGACATTGTAAGAATGCGATTCTTTGCATGCTTCACTTGGGACTAGGTACCCAGGAAAAAGTGTATTTCTTAATATGTTGGCCACTGCCTTGCATCTGAGCCCAAATACTCCTTCCTCTGCATCGTCCTCCCCGCTTTCGTGAGCCCTGGCGCTTAGGGTTTCCTCTCTCACTGTTGACAGCTGTTCCCTCCGCTGTTTATTTCACCTCCATTCTCCAGCCACGGCCGCCGCCTCCTCCTCCCCTATCCTTGCAGGCGCTCCTCCTGTGTCGCAGGCTCTCCCCACCCTCCGCACCCACATCTTCAGGGTGTGCGTGCATTCATCCTCCTCATCGCCATCTTGCTTTATGTGCCACCGCTTTCTCCCCCCTCCCCCCCCCGGGGCCAACGAGCCTCCGAGTTAATTCCCACCTCCAGCCCTCCCGTCGCGACGTCAAGCGTGACGTCACTCCTCTTGGCTGCCCTCTGCCTCCCTCCAGGAAGGGTAAAACTACGCATCCCAGGATGCTCTTTGCCTTGACGTCACGGGGAAAGCGCGTCTGAGTCCAATCGCCGCGTCCAGCTCTCCGCTTGACAATACAGTAAAGCAACGTTTGTTCAACTACGGACAGCGTGTGTATTGGGGCGGAGGGCTGTTGTGTGCTTTCCCTTGCCAATTGTTTCCCGTTTCACCTTGCGAAATTGTTTAGGAAGGGGGTCGTTTTCCACTCCTTTATACTTCACACGCCCTCGGGGTTTTTTTGAAGAGCATATTTCACAGGTCAAAGAAAGCGATGTCGCCCCCAAAGCCTCTTTTCCGTCTCTGCGACTATTGCTACAGAACAGGAAATTAAATAGCCTTCTGTGGTTGCCAGGACGCCAACGGCATAATTTTTATGGGAAACTATTTAAAAAGGGGGGTTCGATTGAGTTGGTAAATTGCCCGTTATTTCCCTATCAATCAATTCCCGTGCATTTCATCATAGAGACCTTCTGCTACGGTTTCTTTGCTGATTAATATCGATATGCCTAACTATCTGGCCTCTGGACGTTACTGGGATCATGTCGCTACGGTCTGTCCACGCTCGCCTGCACGCATGTCAGCAAAGCATCCTTCGCCCGGAATGATGGGCCTCGTCTCGGACATCGCTCTTCCGAGCCATCGACCTCCGGCTTGCCTGTTCATGAAGCAGCAAGAAGGAAGGACCCAGCCAAGGGTGTGGGGGAGGGGGGCAAAGAGCTCCCTTCTCCCTTCTGCCCGTTGCAGCAGAAAGAGACAAAGGCCGATGTGGCGCTGGGAGGGAAAAGGGGGAGGGGGCCTGCTCCCTCGCAGCGGCGAGCCCACCACAGTACCCCAGAGGCGCCCCCTCGCTCTTCTCCTCTCGCCATTGGCTCCCGAGCCTGTCAGTCACCGTTGACCCGCCCGGAGTTGAAACGCTTGGCTTGCCCTGCTGTTGCTCCTGAACTTAATTAAGGGGGGGAAAAGGAGAAAAATATAAAACAGCAGGAGGGAGGAGGAGGGGGGAACTCAAGAGCCGGAGACGGATGGAAGGAAGAAAGGAAGGAGTCCAAGAAGAGCAAGGCTCGCTGAGTAACGGGGAGGGAGGAAGAACCACCCCTGGGTTGGGAAGGCTGCTGTTCCAAAGGTGCAGCCGCGACGGGGGGGCGGTGCGAGGTCCGCCCTCTGAGGCGGCTGCCTGTGCCAGGCCGGATCTCCGCGGTTTGTTTGCCAGTCTTTCCCGGGAGAGACCTCTGCCATCTTCGCAGGAAAGACGGGAGGACGGGCTTGTTCCCTTTCAAAAGGTGGCTGCGTGCCCGAAGTGCGGGAGGGGGGCGAATAGAGAGGCTGCGGGGTGGCCAAGCCAACCCCCCCCCCAGCTTTAAAAGTCCCGTGCTGCGAAGGGAAGGCTACAGAAGTGTGCCTTGTCGTCTGTCACATTGGCAATGTGTATTGCATGAGCACCTTTGAATGCTCCTATAATATTCCCAGTAAGGAGGGTTTAAAAATGACGTGAAATGTAGTTTTGTACGAGCCGAATAAAAGAGAAGTTTGTTTCCTTTGCTGTAAAAAATTCCATTCGGGCTGAAAATAGGATCCACGGGTAGTAAGGATGACCGGTTACCTCCTGCGTTCCCTCTGAAGTCATCACTTGATCAGGATTTGGTTTCTAGGAAAACTACGTCAGAAATTTTAGCGGGGGGGGGGGGTCAGCAAGAAAGTCAACAACTGTCGCCTCGTTTAGCTTCCTCGGGGGTCGCCCTTAAAGAGCTCGCTGCCTCCTGGATTGGCCGGGCTGAGATCGGAAATGTTCTCTCCTTCGCGTGTCAGGTCCCCTGGAATTTGGTGGGATTTATTCACAGGGGAGGGTGTACAGTACTTGGGTTCCTGGTTCAAAACCCATTCAGCTGAAATAGAGAGTCCCTCAGGCTAAAAGCAAGAGCTGGTAGTTCTGTAACCAAGTTTTACAACAGGGGAAAGGGCTTAGAACAGGAAAAGCTCCACCTGGAAGTCACACAGAGGGGTCTAAAAATAGGAGCCTGAAGTGTACTGCAGAGGATGAATACAGAAACCAGGTGCATAATATTTGATCAAGAATTATAGTATGTTCCTTGGAAGTATACAAAAGGGACACGTAGTCAGATCTCTGCTGGTTCCAGCGGTAAGGCATATGAACAGCCTCTCTGCTTGGGAATGTGGTAAGGGGTCCGTGAACCAAACCAGGTGGGTGCGCGTGAAGAACTGGTTGAGTTAGATCTTGCTGCTAACAATGATAGCTCCATTGCTTGCCTGTAAAATTGGTTCCATGCATTTTTGATGTCATAGTTTAATCATGGTTTCCTAAAATCCCACAGTTGGTAAGGTTTACACATGTTAAGTGATAAATTATTGTTTGCAAGCCACAGGGGGTTCACACAAGATTAAACAAGCCACTTGAAAATTTGGGACATTGTTGGAATGTTGTCGGAAGCTCCCCATGTGTTCCTTGCACACATAAAAAAGTTTTAACTCATACAGTTGTAAAGACAAGGGAAAGAGATCCCTAGAAATCACCTAAGCTCCTTAGCAAAAGCATGAGATATCAGTATAATAGATAACATTAAAAAAACTAAACACTTTTTCTGCGTTTAGCAAAAATTGGACATGGATCCTTCAGACCGTCATCAAGTTTTATTAATTTTGGTGATACAATTTTGACCTCCAGAAACTGCAAAAAGGCTGGGGGGTCGTGTGCAGCCAGCACATTACTTACTCTTCCACCACTGTTTCCTTTACTAGTTTGCTGGATGAGCCACCATGCCTGGGTTCAGACAACATGCAAGATCAAACTAAAAAATCACATGATGGCTTTGTACCATGTGTGAATCCAGCCAGACACATCACAGGAGGATTATTTTAGAACAGGCATTCCCCCTACATCAAACAGTTCATGGGGTCACGAAGAGTCGGACACGACTTAACGACTAAACAACAATTGTCACATCCTTTTGTAAATGTTCATGTTAAATGATCTGTTGTCCAATCAATTGGGGAATTATTATGATTTTTCAAACCAATGAATGAACCTTACTGCTTAAAAGAGGCCATATTATAACTTTAACTGTAAAGAGAAATGTGAACAACTGTTGTTATAAGCATATTGTATGTTGGAATGAAAGGAGAAAATTAAATAATTGGGGAAAAAACCAACTAGCAACAGAATTTCAGAATATTTGTTTGTTCTGAAGGAGTCTTACACTTTTTTCTCAGCATAACACATAATTCTATATAGACAAGAATTTTGATAACCCAGCAGGTCAAATGCTTTGGTGGGGATTATTTCAATGTATTTTGGGTAAATGTATTTGGTTTGGCCTTTTTTTATGTTTAAATGGACTTGGTATTAGTTTTTTAAATAAAAAATCAAGGCTTTTTT